AAAAAAAAAAAAAAAAAAAAAAAAAAAAAAAAAAAAAAAAAAAAAAAAAAAAAAACTAAGTGCCCTCATGATTGATTTTGGTTCATTGTTTCACAGTATGCATGTCGGAAGACGCTAGCAGACAGGAGAACACGAGTACGAGGAAGATTTGCTCGCAACAACAACGAGCTCTGTCACACTCAGATCCCTCTCCAAACCAACCAATTAAACAAACAAAGAGATCAAACGGTAACAACATTCTATTTTTTTTTATAATGATTTTGTTCATAAAGGCGAGAGCTTTCCATCTTTTTGTATGTTTTTGATCATAAAGTGGAGAGCTTTTTGAGATGGGCGGGTCAATTTCCTTACTTTTTGTTGTTTTTTTTGGACAGAAGAAGGAAGAGGAAGAGAATTGGCTGCAAGAATTAGCAGCAAGTTTAATGTATTTACCTTATGTCACAGATTTCAGTGGCCTTGATGATCATCTGTAATTATTTCACAATTATTACATAACTATAAAATTTTATTAAAAATCACTTTTTTTTTTTTTATTCAACATTTTAGTTTTATAACATAAATTTGAATGAGAGATCCAAATAACCGAACTAAACCACCGCATTATGATTGGGTTGGGTTCTTTATTTAATAGCGATTGTTTAATTTGAAAAAATTTACAATTTGAGCAAACCATTAGGTTGGATCTAAAAAATGTTCGACCTACTATCAAATACAAAATTTAGCCGAGAAATTTTTAAAAATTTAGGAACGAAATAATTTATTTTAGGATTAACTTATTTTCCCTTTTTGATCTAAAAAAGTGTGAAAGGATTTGAGGAAAAGGTGATGGAGAGGTCACATGAGGGTTTTGGGATGCTAGGACAGCACTAATTAACTAGGTAGAAGCTTGAAGGGGTGGCCTATTCTGTGGGTGACTTATTGCTTCTTCGTGTTATAATTAAAGAGGCTTTCATGGATTCTCTCTTACCTTTTGCCCACTTTTTTTAATTTGGTGGGTTGAGATTGAAGCCATTTGTTTTAGATTCTTTTTGTTTCGTACACCGACCCATAAACGTATCATTTGAAAAGAGATCTTAACGTTCAATGCGAATATTGTCTTTTATTAAAAGAATTCTCGTACGTGTAAGTAATAAGGACAACATTTCTATTGACACTAAGTCGATCGTAGATAAAAGTTTAAAGTGGACAATAACAAGGTAATTCATGAGTTTGTCAAGTCCGTTGAAAATCTAGATCTATACACGAGCATACAATACAGCTCTTTATTTTATGTTTCTCACATATTTGCTTTAAGTGTTGGAGTTTGATTTCGGCTTCTTAAGCTTAGCTCGTAAGTAAGGACCTTCCTATACCATTTTGTTTCGATCAATTTTTCTAAACATGTACTTTAACCCAATTTTCTTAATTCAAAGCCCTTTCAAGTCCCTCCCTCGCACCCTAAGTTTACTAACCCGAATCTAACATAAATGTCTAACATGCACCTAAGTTTGGTATAATCTCACCTATGTTTACCAAAACAATAGGGTTTCTATACTTAATTATAATCATACACGACGAAAGATTTATAAATTTGGGCATGGATGATTGATTGACAGAATTCCAACTTGCGAAAAAGAAATCATACAAGAAGTGGTGGTTGTTCATAATCATTCTATCACAAACCCATGAACATGTAACAAATGATCATGAAGCACCCAAAGTTTATAAATACAAATGATATCAGTTCTTTATTGGAAGAGATAAGAAGAAGAAGTTGAGCATAATCACCCACAAAGAAACATTGTGGTTTTTAATGGGATTCTTATTTTGGCACCATTTGTGACCCATGGAATTAGGGGAAAAGGAGATTCTACATGGTTATCATTACAAATTCAACATTTTTTTTTGTTTCACACACTAAAAAATGTATCATGTTTGAACCTTATTTATGTCAAAAACCCATTAAGGGAAAGACGAGCAATCCAACATAATAGAATAGAAGGAGTAAATCAAATGGGTGATGATTGATAGAATAATGTTGCAATGATATAATAGCAAGAAAGAAAGGTAAAGATGACCACATTGTGTTGATATAGGGTAAGTAAGATGGTATACGTAGGTATATAGGGCATGCCAGTAGGGCTGCATTTTCAAGCCTTCCCATCATCAATCTCTTCTCAAATTCAAACCTTACACGCCGTAGGAGTTGAGCCTAACCCCACTCCAAATAAGGGTTTTTTTGCCACCTTACTTTCACTTTAGATGTTCATTCAACATTCTTTTGGTTGAAGTGATTGAGAATACAACTTAGGGTTATGATTATTTTTAGAAAAAAAAGAGTATATAATATAGTCAAGATGTATAATATTTTTGTCCCTCTTTCTTTAAAAGAATTGGATTTTCTCCCGAACAACTTTCATCTCTCCTGTTGTATAAATAAATTGCCACACCCCAAAATTTGGGACTCGAAATCAAGGACAAGACCAATAAACTATGTAATGAAAACATGTAGAAAAGAGATACGCAAGAAGATTTTACGCAAAAAAAACTAGCAAAAGAAGAAAAATTTCAATCAAAGAACAATGTTCATGTAGTATATGAATTTCATAAGAGAAAACGTATGAGGTAACTATGTGTGACCATATAGACTCTTAGACGCTCCGGGTCACTCCTCTATGGTTTCAAGACTCCCAAACACCCGTCCGCCTCATCCTTAACCTAGTAAGTATCCACGAGTTTTCTTCTAGACTCTAGGAAGTGCGGTCTAAGTTTCAATTCTATATGAGCAGTTAGGTACCCGACTATTCGAGCTAGTTTCCAAACTAAAGCATACCCCTGGGGTTTGGCAAGTTCTTCTTAATCCTTCTTCTCTACAACTTAGTGGCTTACCTTACTCATGCAATGAATGATCAATGTCTTAAAATAAATCCGTAAAGTGCTTTGAACATCATATGTGGGGCTAAGCTGACAACCCTCCCATGGGACCATACTGCCATTAAAGTCAGGGGGTTGCGATCCCCTGTGTGCCAGTCAGCTACTAGGTTAACCTATGTGATCCTTACGGCCCCTCTCATGGAATTATTCACATTACTTAAGTTCGACGAGCTACCTCAGTTGTCCATGGTCATTGTGGTTTTCTACTAGGTTTTCTAGGGCAGGTCTAATGGCTTAAACATAGATTTACTATCCCTAAGGTTCTTGTGCAAAACCTCTCAAACCTATCGTGGCTTGGAATATTAGGGCTTGAGCCTGTTGGCCACTCTTCGCTACCCTAAATGCACGGTCTCCTAGAGGCATACTGATCTAGGTCTTTGTCTAGCCCAATTAATCTCTGGAACACTAGTCTAGGCTGGTTGTTGCTTCCTATCTCAACAGAAAAGAAAATGTAGGCAATCATACACTAAAAGAAGTCAACTCCAAAAAGAAATGAAAAAAAAGGGTCTACAAATGAACAAACAAGTGAATATATATAGATATGATTCGATGAAGTCGCTTAGTTGTAAATCTTACGTAAAATATAATGTTGTTTTTGGGCCATAATCATTTTTATTACCAAAAGTGCACAAACATTATTAAAAAAAAAAAAAAGAACATAATCCGATGATTATTGTACATAATTTATGTTGGCGACAAAACTTAAAGAAGTAACGATTCCAAAAAACAATTTGACTTTTTTTTTTGTTAATGTCGATGATTAATGTTCAATAATGCAGCGAATCCACAGCTTGTCATGCTTCAAGATTTCAATTTCCTAACCTTGTTATAAATCATATCTTTATAAAGTCAAAATTAAGGTCTAAATTTCATTACAATACATCGCTCTCCATATTATAACATAAATATAAATTCTTTTGGACTAAAAAAAAAGGGTTTTAACTAACCAGATATAGGATCTCAACCACTAATGAAACTTTGAAAAATTTAATTCGTATATTTTAAAATTTGCAATAATCAAGAACAATATATTAAATTAGAATAAAAAAAGGCCCAATATAAATACTATAATTAAAAGTATATATTATAAATATGACACCGCACAATTATTTACATTGTTTAAGCATTTACAATATGGTTATGAATGATAATGATCTCGGCGTAGCGCTATTTTCTTTTCTACAAAGTTACGTAATTTATATAAAAAAAGTATAAATAAAAGCAGAAGTACAATAAAGCAAGCCCGCCCCATTATAATGATAAAGAAAGCACATTATAATGATAATTAGGAAAACTAAGATGAAAAAAGAAGCGCACGCCTAAAGCTTCAATTAATTAGCTAGCAGGATGACCACAACGACTCCCCCATGTTGTCCATGGAAAAATAGGACTTGTTTTGCGGCGGAATGTTGATCTTGCCGGACGGCGACGCAGTTTCCGGCGAGTGTCCGGCTGTCGGGTTCGACGATGACGATGTGAATTGACGCATTCGCATGTGTACTACTTCCGCTTGCGCAATCGCTAGCTCGGTTTGTAACAGGTCGATTTGCTGTTGCAGCGACGATATGGCTCCGACGCAGCCGTACACTGGATCTCGGACCCTTGCGTTTGCTTCGTACACCATCGAGCTCACCGCGTCGCTCCGCTGGTGCTCCGGCAACTCCTATTCACATATAGACAATTTTAGCTTCTATTATGACGTCATAATAGTATAAATGATGCTAAAATTAAAAAAAGAATAAGAAAAAGAAAAGCTTCGGGTCTGTATTGTAATTTCCCAAAAGCTATCAGCCTAATGGAGCTTAAAGTTGAAGGGAATTAAATAATTAATCAAGACACAAATTATACACTTTATATTAAGCAAAGAAATTTCCTGAAAGCTAAGCTTAGCTTTAATAATGTGAGTGGAAAGTTAAGTGGGAACCAAAGGGTAGGGTTAAAGGTGGGTTTGAATTGACCACTAATTACTACAAATTAAACCACCCCTTTACTCTTTCCTACACCCACCAATCTTCTCGAACTGTTTTTGGGCTTACTTTTTTAAGAAGTCGGACACATTTTAAAACACTTGGCTAGCTGCGTTCAGCTCATATGATTAAAATATAATATTTGTACGCGTTAAAAAATACATAACTAGGAAAAATACATATTGAAATGTCAATGTCATAGGGTAATAGGATTGTCGGTAAAATAATTGAGAGTTTAGGGACAAAATTTAAGAAAAAGAAAGAAGAATGTAATTTGATATAGTGAAACCTGTAACATCTTGTTGACATTACTAGCGCCGAAGACTTTATGGACGCTGGCGAACTTATGAGGCTCGTCGGCGGGGAAATAAGGGGCGAAAACGCAGTCTTGAGCACATCTCCGACGAAGAAGCTTACAGGCGGCGCATGGTGCAACAGCGCCTTGTTTCCGTCCACTCTCCTTCATTTCTCCCGCGGATATGTGACCAATTCCGGTAGCTTCCGAACAAAATTCAGGTCAAAATCGAGTTTTCAGAACGCAGAAACAAAAGGAGGGGGCGAAGAAGAAGGAAATGGAGGATGTTATATAGAGAAGTCACGCCAGATCTTTAAAACGGACCCACCAAAGAACAACCCTTTAGATTTTGCCTCTAAAGAAAACAAATTAATTATTTTTTTTTGGTGAGAATATCTTTCTTTTGCCCCCACATATTATATTATGATATTTTGTCTCCCTCTCTAATTTTTTTTCCACATCCTTTTCTTGCTCTCTCTTCTTTTATTTTATAAAAATTATATTTCTTAAAGTAATTCAACAATTCCCACTTAATATTATTTTATTTATATAATTTGTGACATCTTAACCATACCACATGCTATGAATTACAATGTAACGCTCTAATTCTATAAAAATATATTAATCTAAACTCGTTGATTTGATACCATTACGCACCAAATCCGCCCTCTCAATTCTTGGGTTTTGTTTAAAAAAAAAACAAAAAAAAATTACAATGTTTATCCCACTTTAATTACATTCTCCACGTAGGACCTCCCTGTTTTTTTTTTTTCTTTTTCCTTCTTAATTTCTATTTAATTTAATATATAGTACGGAGTGGAAGTAAGTTTGCTTGAATCTTAAGCTAATTTGGGTGTTTATTAAATGTATGGAAATGCCTATAAAATGAAATTGGCCGGGACTTTTTCGTACATTTCATTGACAAAAACCAAAATTAAATAAATATAAAAATAATAACAACAAAAGAAAAAGATACGAATGACAAGATTGGAATCCAAAATGACGAAAGAAACACACGTGCTTATGCTTTAATTTATGGACTTTTCTGCTCTAATAAGATCGTATACCATATAATATGTGATCTTATTGATATTAATGCAAATTTTTATTAATTTATTTTCAAGCAAGTTACATCATTTAGATGCGATTTTCCTTATGTTTTTTTCTTCGTTAAAATTTAATATTTTATGATAAATGCTACCCTCCATCTTCCAATCATCTCTTTCAAATTAAATCATATTTATTAATCTTATCCTTTCATCGGTCAAATGGAGGCTATAGTCTTAAAAAATCTCGAAAATTAATTATTTTGATTTCATAGTAATACTAAATTTAATGTTTTTTATTTATTTTAACAGTTGATGGTTACATGCATAAAGAAATCAGTTATAAAACAATGGCTACACAAGAAGTTCATCTTAACCACCCACTAGGGTTTGTTCTGTTTGAACAGATGTGTGTGAAGGGGTCATATCATTTGGCCAATCCTCGCCGAAAGTATTGATAAAAACATATGAAGAAGCTTCAAATGTAATTCATATATGAAATGGACAAAACATTACATATTAATGTTTTGATGTCTTGTCTTCTAATTGAAGACGATGGATAAGATGAAATTCTCTAATTGGTTTGTTTTTTTGTCTAACGTAAGATTGTCATCACCCATGTTCGTTCTATTTGATTGATATTCAAAATTGTGATTTGTTTTTTTTTAACGTGCTTTCATTTAGACGCTTAGCTTCCCTTATCACGTAAATGATCAAATCAAAGAATTAGATTTGTTTTTTTTTATTATTATATTGTGAGATCCCTCATCCGTCAGAGAGAGAGAGAGGAACGAAACATTCCTTATAGGATGTGGAAACTTCTCTCTACTACTCTCTACTAGACATGTGACTGACGACAATACATAATAGGCCAAAACGAGCAATATCTGTTAACGGTAGACTTGGGCTATTACAAATGGTACAAAGCCAGACACGGGGCGGTGCGCCAATGAGGATGTTGGACCCTAAGGGGGTGAATTATGATATCCCACATCAGTTTGAGAGGGAAACAAAATATTCCAAGTAGACGCGTTTTAGAACCGTTAGGCTGACGACAATACATCAAGGGCAATATCTGCTAGTGGTGGGTTTGGATTGGATCCCCAAAGGTGGTGAATTGTGAGATCTTACGTCGATTGGAGAGAGGAATAAAACATTGGTTATAAGGGTGTGGAAACCTCTTTCTAGTAAATAGGTTTTAAATCATGAAGTTGTTACGACAATACATAACAAGACAAAATAAGTCATATCTGCTATGCGAACAGTGGGCTTAAACTGTTACACGAATTTTAAATATAAAAAAACACATGTCCTCCACCGAATATACCGATGATGACGGAAAAAGAAGTTTATTTATTCAAACTAAATCAGCAGCTAAATGAAATTAAAAGAAATGACATCAAAATTTAGAATTGGACGATTATTAAATTTTTTTTTGTAAGTTAATCAGATAATTAGCTAAAATTTCACATGATCCCAAGCACATTCATTGAGAATAAATTAAAAGGTGGAGTTTTGAGTAGACACGTTAGGTTCATAATTGTGTTTTAAAGGATGCAAAAACGCGTTACCATGAAAACCTCAACTGCTAATCCATCCAATCTCAATAATTATGGGAACTTTAATTAATTCTTTTAATCACATATTAGTACCACTAATTAATCAGCATCATCAATTTGGAGCTGACGTGGAAAGCTCATCCATTTTCTACTAAATTCCATTTTTATTTTACAATTTCCATTGGTTAGTGAAAAAGGTATATAATCCTATTTTCCTATGTATGCTATACTTTTTCTTTACAATAAAATATTAAAATCTGACTAATGAAGCTATTTTCAAGTCCACACTTTTTCTTTTTTCCGTTTATTATTAATCAAGTTGAATATTTTGTTTTTTTTTTATATAAAGAAATATGAAATTACAATTTTCTTTTTATAAAAATAATCTTCATTATATAGTTCATCAATATAAATAAATTTTAAAATTTATTTGTTATAAAAATATCAAAAATATTTTATAATTCGATGAGTTATCAAATTGGTGGATATAGTTTTAAATTATTCTAATTTGGTTTGTTAATATATTTTATTTTGTGTTCGATTGTTTTGTATAACCAGAAAAAAAGAAAAAAGAAAAAAAGAAAAAAGAAAAAAAGAAAAAAGAAATCGACATGTCGACCTGTGTTATTATGTCCAGCACGATTTAATGCGGTATGTAGTTCATCAGCAATCGAGTGGCGGTAACAAAGACGTCGACGTGTACAGCAAAGCAGTCGAATCGTAACTATCGAAACCAACCATCGCTATTCGAGCTCCGACGCCTTCGCTTCGGAACATTTTCGTCATTTCCGATTCCATCTCGTTCGGTGTCTCTGATTCTCACAGCTCCAGTATTGTATGAACTAAGAAGCTGATCATGGACGCCGCCAAGGAAGAGTTTCTCAAGGAGTTCGGTCGAGATTACGGCTATTCTGGCGCTCCTAAGACAATTGATGAAATTCGAGCCACTGAGTTTAAGCGCCTAGAAGGTAAGATTTCGATCTTGTTTTGAAAAAGTGATCATAGTGGACCATGGAGCTGTTCAATTTGTCGAAATCTTTTATTCTTTACCATTCGTTTTTCTATATTCTAATAATTAGGAGTAGAGTATGTATTTAATTGGCTTGGAGCGAAACATTCGTATTATTATACTTTTTGTTTACTTCTGCTTTCATCATAACCAAGCATCCAAATTTCGGTAGGTGTTGCATATTTGGACCATGCAGCAGCAACTCTGTATTCCGAGCTACAGATGGAAGCGATCCTTAAAGATCTAACTGCTAATATCTATGGAAATCCTCGTATCCTGCAGTTGAAAGACTCGAGTCCTTTAAGTAATTTCTTCAAATTTAATTCTGAATTGCTCTGGAATGACTTCCCTGATAACATCTGATATAGCTTCAATAAATTACGTTCACTCTAAACCTCGAAAAGCTGTTTGAGATGAATTTTGAAGGTGAATACTTACTTTACTGTGTAAAATTGCTCTGCTACTTCAATGCTATAGCCTCTAGGATACTTTCGTTCAAATTCTAGATGTCATGTGGAAAAAGGCTTTTCAAAGATGCTTAGCTCTACCTTTTGTCTAGGAATGCATCAAGTACTCTAACTGTGGACATTCAAGATTTGAGCCAGAGAATCTGATTCAGACAGAGGATGCTTAGAGCAGCAGATATTCTATTCATAAACTAAGAAGCATGTTTAAATTCAGTGAAGAAATATTAGGATGGTCAATGTCTTCATACACCTGCTTTGTACAAGTTAATTTTATTCTGTCTGATGAGTGTGTGATTAGTTCATGGTTTTATACTACTTCCTTATCTCACACTGTACTTGAGTTCTTTCTTTTTGGACGGTGCTATGTAAGAGAAATTTGAAGCACTGCGAATCTTAAATCTTCCAAACAGTTATGCGTTGTCTTCTATCGACTCTGCATGTTTCATTATGAAGATCAAGTCTTTGCCGGCGTAGAACCATAGAGATTTTGACACAACCTCTTACAATTCTATCTATCTTTTGAAAAAATTCCCAAATAGTATTTTTCTCTTTCAATTGAAGTGCTCCAAGTATCTTTTTGTAGAAGGAACTAAAAAATAAAAAAAGCACTCTGACAACCTAAAGCAACAATCTATCAGTTTTGCGCCATGATGGCCATGTAGCACACAATTCAAATAAAACACTTGGTATTGCAGTGTGCTGCACTTGTATCACAACATAGTTGTGGTGCCCATCCTCAGATTTGCAGGCTTGGGATTCTTCATATCTTATAGATCACATCACCTGCCAACCTCACACTCTCTTCTTTTTGTTTTTGGTTTTCCTTTTTCCTTTTTTTTTTTTTTTAAGAGAAACAACTACTTAGGATTTCATCGATGAGATGTAGTTACAAGAACAGAGGAGAGTTCCTAGCCAAAGGAATTACAAAAAATTCTTTCAATGGGCCATAAGTGTAGCTAAGTCATAGTTTCTAAAGAAACTGGAGTTTTTACACCAAGTTATGACTAAAAAGACAGACGATTAAAATGTGATTGTTCCTCTTGGAGTCCTTGAATATGTGATTGTTCCTCTTGTTCCAAATGAACCAAAAGAATGCCGTCATGAAATTAGCCATAGGAATGCCGTCATGGAATGGAAAAGGTTTGCTTAAGGGAAGCTTCACCCAGTAGGCTCTTCTTTTCGGGTTAGAGTTATTTTTATTTTGGACATTTGATGATTAGACTCTAGAAACCTACAATGTCGCATGTATTGGTTACATCTTTCAATGTTTTTTTGGCCCCCTTTGTTGCATGAATTTATTACATTAATTTGAAGTTTCTTAAGCTACAGTTAGATAGCCAAAGTGATTCTAGCTTTGCCACTTCTGACATTGTAAGGAATGCTCGCCAACAGGTGTGTGTATTTTAATCCATATACTCTTTAGTTCCTGACCCAAGCACTCTGAATTTTTCTTAATGCAATTATTTCATCTTATTAGATCATATAAGCATTGAATTTCACAGTCGTACACACCTATGAAAAAAATACGTAGGTGGAAATGTTTGGATTAATTATGGTTTTCATTGTACTAATGAACATCCGCATTTTTGGCATTTCATATTTCTTGTTAAGAAAGGTGTTGTGAATGCAGGTCCTTGACTATTTCAAAGCATCTCCTAAAGACTACAAATGCATATTTACTTCTGGTGCAACAGCAGCACTAAAATTAGTTGGCGAAGCTTTCCCATGGAGTCACCAAAGCAACTTTGTGTACACAATGGAGAATCATAACAGTGTTATTGGAATCAGGGAGTATCCTTCTGAGCGATTCTGTCTGATGTTACTTTCATATGAACAGCTTTAGCCACCTTTGTTTTTATGTTTTGTACACTTCAGGGAATTTTTTTGACGCCAAGTTTTGAACATTGTGATTATACTGTTACTAATGGCCATTTCATTGATTTTTCAATATACTTTAGGTAATTGGTTTCATGTTGGGATTTTGAGTGTATCTATCTAATGTGGATGCTTATAGGCCAACTCTCTGTAGGACATGGATATTTTAGAAGCTTTATTTCTCTTTTCTAGTTTTTACTCGAGAGTATTCTTATTATTTGTAGTTTAAAATCCATGAAAAATTTCTTAATTGTTATAAGATATGCTCTTGAACAAGGAGCTCAAGCTTATGCCATAGAAATTGAAGATACAGAACGAGATGCATTCACAGGAAATATTGCGTCTGTGCAAGTAACGAAGCACCAGATGCTAAGGAGAAATGAAGCCAAGTTTCTGGCTAAAAATCATACAGGTTTGTCTTTGGTTGTAGCTGGTAACTCATGTTCTACATGTGCAAGCTAAGAGTGATGGGGTTGGGGAGCTGTATGCCTCCTTGTTCAAACTTTGGTGCAATGATCATCACATGACTTTGGTTCCTTTGAGCTGTTAGCCTCCTTCAAACTGGTCTACTTAACTTCCCGAGTTTCTATCAATAAAAAAAAAAAAAAAAAAAAACAAAAACTTCCTAAGTTGAACTCGGGCCACATGATTGCATCAATTTTAAATTCTAGCTCCTATTTGGGCATAATTTGAACTACTTGTTTTCTGTTAACAAATCATTGTATTATGTGAGTTTAATCTTGATCCATCTTGGCTTCGGTTTATTTGAGGTATGGACACTTCCATGCTCATTATACATTTTTGTAGGAGAATTCGATTCATCTTATGACTGATGATGGTAGCATCAATTTTGACGGTGTTTTTGTAACTTATAACTTATCTTATTGTTCACCTCGTGCAGGTAGCGCGTATAATTTGTTTGCCTTCCCTTCAGAGTGCAATTTCTCTGGTTTAAAATTTAGTCTTGAATTGGTGAAGACTGTGAAGGAAGATTCGATTAGATACTCTGATGGCTCTCCATCTTCTAAGTAATTAATGCCCTTACTTCTGTCTTAAGTTTATAACAGCTTTGATCCACTTCTCATCACGCTATGAAAGCCTACACTTCTAATGTATTTGGCAAACCGTGAAATTTGGACTGAATTTATTCAATCTTGTATTTAATTGAGCCAATATAATCAAACACATTCATATGGGATAAAGATGGTTTTGTGCTGTCAGTCCTCTCTTGATAAATGCTTATTGTTGATCGGATGCAAATACAGAATTGAATCCTTTTGTTCTTTCTGGTTAAGATTATATATATTTTTAACAGCTTTCATTTAATATATATGTAACTTTTGTTATTACCATCTATTCATTGAATGTACATATGTTTGAGGTCTCAACTTGTAGTGGACACTGGAAGGTTTTAATAGATGCTGCAAAAGGATGTGCGACAGAACCACCAGATTTATCGAAGTATCCTGCTGATTTTGTTGTCTTCTCTTTCTATAAGGTGTGTTTGCAATATTTTAGATTTTCATGAAGCCATTACCTTAAGCGTTGTGCTTTGTTAAATATTCTTATTAACTATTTTTTTATATTTTTCTGAACTAGCTGTTTGGGTATCCAACTGGACTTGGAGCTCTCATTGTTCATACTGGTAGGGCTCTCTCTAAGAGCTTTGTAATCTTTTTAGTTAATTCATCAGCATGATTTAAGTTTATACACCTGGTTAGTGTTCTAGTATTACTAATGTTTTAAAAAATTAAAGGTGGCCTCAAATCTCGAGTTTTTTTTTTTCTCTTAAAAAGGTTAGGCATAAATTTCAAAGCAGTATGAGGATTAAGCCCTCAAATTTAATAAAACAATTATATGAATCATACAAACATACGATCAAGTATATTACATATGTGATCCACTAGCGTCTTTTCCATGTTATCTTTTGCGCTACAATGTAGTACTCTTGGTTTTCCTCATTTCTCCTAAGACGCAAATAAAAAGAAATGAGTTGACCTTAGACATTTCCTAAAATTAGTTTATTCTTCTCTCCCTTTTAGAGCTATGTATCATATATTAAAGTTCAACTGTATTAATGTTTGACGGGTTTTAATTGTATTGACTTATACCCTATATTATTGTTGGAAAGGTTTAAGTTATTAACTTCTAATTCTAACTCTTTACTATTTTAATATTGCAGATGCTGCCAAGTTGTTGAAGAAAACTTACTTTAGTGGAGGTTTGTATTCAGCTATGTTAACTGGAGATCGCTTTCTTTCTTTTCTTTTTTTCTTTGCTACTGGGGTGGTGGGAACAAGAACCTAGAAATTTCATTCCAGAGAAAAAAGTTACGAAGAGGGAAACCATTTCTATAAAAGCCCTTAAGTTACAAAAAAAAAAAAAGAAAAAACCTTCAGCTGCAGCTCTCTATCATTCAACTGTCCTCTAAACTCAAAATCCCAGCTTGCTTTTCCTCACTTGAGAATCTATCAATAAACTGTCTTCTGCTTAAAGTCGGGTTGCACAACCTGAGAAAAATATTAGACTATCTGCAGGTAGCTAATTGAAGTTGTATCAATTTCTTTTACTACATAGGCACGGTTGCAGCTTCAATTGCTGACATTGACTTTGTCAAGCAACGAGAGGGCATCGAGGAACTCTTTGAAGATGGTACAATCCCATTTCTGAGCATAGCGTCTCTATGCCATGGGTTCAAAATTTTAAATTCTCTAACTATACCTGCAATATCTCGGTATGCAAAATGCATCTTTTAAGATGAATATTTTCTCTATAGATTAATTATTGGTAGAATTCTGTTCATATAACCATGCTCTTTGGCTAAAAATATACAAGATCATATTTTTTCATTCTTGGAACTTTTGTAGTTTGCTGCTTCAAATTTTTTTTTTGAGGATTTTATCATACTTTGACTTGTGCTTCTGAATTTAGGATATAACCGAGTTCTCGACTTTAGCTATCTGAAAATAAGTATAATAGTATGTTATAATCACTATATTACTCTCAAATTCTTTGCATTTTATCTGTCTGATGTGCCAGTTCCTCCGGTTGACATGTCTGTTGTACTGTAATGTTCTTATTTTGCGCTGTTTTAGATTCTTTTCTTGCTTGCTACTGCTATTATCCTTGTATTTAGTTTCCATTCTATATATCTGTATCTTTCTCAGTAGGGGTATGTATGCATGTTTTGTGTTTCTTTCCATCAAAGCAAAAAATTGATTTGTGTAGGCTATTGTATTACGTCCTTGTGATTAAGAAATTTAATGGGTGACAATAGTACTCATCAGTCGTTAATCTCTCTTCTTTTTTTTTGCTTATTTTTACTTACCTTTAATTGTTAATTTGTACCTTTTATCACCCGATTATTTTATTAAGCATACTTGACATCATTAACTGAAGGCATACCTCATCCCTTGCCACATACTTGAGGAACGTACTTGCGGCTTTGAGACATGAAAACGGAACAAGGGTATGCACTCTCTATGGAAGTTGCTCTTCCAAGGTTAGTCTTACTGCAAAGATTTGGTTGGTTCAAATCTTTCTAAAAATTCCTATATCGTTAGTTAGAGGTTTTGTATTCAAATAATGTTCGCAACATTATTGTTGCACAAGAACAAAGTTGTGTTAAATCAGTGCTAAACCAAAAAGTTTAAGAGCATAGCGTATAATATATTTAATTTTTTATTCATATTCTTAACACTTTTCACTTGTGAGCTAGAAAATTAGAAATTAGTACAAGATTTAACAGTGAACTATAGTATGAGACAAGAAAAAAGGATACTGAAAAGGCTCAAACTTTGTGCCTCATGCTTTGATTCCATGTTAAATTCTGACTAAACCCAAAAGTTGTTATTTTCATGTAGCAATATGAAAGGATCCAAGATAAACATATACCAAGTCAGCAGATAGGCGTTCAGTTGTGATTAATATTTCCATTTAAATATAATTATTGATTCCTATACAGTCAATATGCGGTAGTCAATAACTTTTGTCTTTGTTATAACTAGTCAAGACAAAACAATCGCCAGGATGGCAGATGGCTCAAGTAGGCTAAGTACTGGCATTATATTAGTTCCCATATCTATCCCACCTTCCCAGATGGTTAAGTTTATGATACTATACCCTAGATCAACAGGTAAGGAATGGGTGACATGCTTTAGATGCCTCAAGCTCGGGCTCAGGCCTAGATAGACCCCGATGATTGAAACATCATAAGATTGAGTTTGATATCAATAATCGGGTTTTCTTAAAACTTTGATCACGCTTGTTGCTTTTCTTGGCAAAGAAGGTGAATCATAAGCTCTCTTCATGTTTGTTGTCCAGAAGGAATAGTACGGTTGCACTAATGGCCATCATTAGCTGTTCCATGCATTCCAAACGTGGAAGGCTTTGGGACCAGGTGCTTTACAAAAACTGCAACCATGATTAGACTGAAGTTTGGAGTGGTTTATGAAACTACAATAGCTTCTGGGTGTGCATAGTCATTGATGAAACTGCGTGGGAGGGACTATCAAATGCACGAGCCTGCAGTAGTTTGAAGCCTCACAAGAATTCTTAGATACCTTCTAGAAGCAGTTCCCTTCTTTCCACTTGAGGGCGAGGTGTTGCTGACGTTGAGGGTAATGTTAGGCACCCAAATTGTCTGAGGGTTCTAAGAAATGAGTCAAATACTCAGGTTAGGTAGAGAGAATGTCTATTAAAGAAGGAAAGTAGGAAATCAGAGAGGTGTTTGAGGATTGATAAGATGAGGTGATTACAATTGGGAGTCCTAAGTTGTAGGCTTTCAACTTGATACCTATTAGCATGCTATGAATAGGTTGGAAAGAAAAGGGTACACATATAAATTGTCTCAACACTTCTTGGCGTGCATCATCAGAGAGAATGGCATACATGGATTTGATTTCTAAGACTTACTGATAAGATGAGTAATTTAAGGGGGAAATACTTGGTACTGGTTCTCACCTCAACCTCATTTCTAATTTGGAAACAATTGGAAAAATCTCTTTAGGTGTCAAATAACTAAATTGTGTGGAATTATAAATCTGAGGTCCAATATCTGAAGCCGTGATATGAAAATCAAGTCTATATTTGAACAAATCAACCCGTCCATTTTTATGGGTACTTGGAGCTTAATCATTTTCCTTTTGTTCGAATTACATTTAAGCTATTCATATGATTATTTTGCTTGATTACAACAAGAAGCTATTTATAAAACATCACGGTTATGCACCATGCCTATGAAGTGATAAGGCGTGGTGCATTAATATGATGTGTTAATGATTATGTTGTCCTTACTTTCAATTTTTCTTTTCAACTCTTGGTATCTGTGAGAATTAAAGCTTATAATGTAGTTTTTCCTTTCTAGACACTATGTAACAAAATGGGTCCTTTAGTCTCATTCAACTTGAGACGACCGGATGGATCTTGGGTTGGTCATCGCGAAGTGGAAAAACTGGCCTCTTTGTATTCGATTCAGTTAAGGGTAAATTTTTTGTGTTATACTGTTTAAGCTTTATGATTTCAATTTTCATTTTAAATGATCGTTAGTTGATTTTTTTTCCTGTTAATTATTCTCAATTGATTTTCCGTCTTTTTTATTTCCTCCTGTGGTAAATATGAAGGTCGGTACTTTATTGCAGGCATTCAGCAGATTATGTTGAATCATATCCAAGCTTATGGCAATCATGTTCACTTTGTATTTGGATTTTTTTTTTTTTAAGAAACTTGAATGTAATGTAGAAAAAAGATTGAAAAATAGAGCCTAGGGGCAGGGATAGATAGAACCCTCACAAGAAAAGACTAATGGAGAGCTTTCCAACTTCTTTGAATCGTGGACAAGCTGAAGAATTTATTTGTGTCACACACCACCAATAAACAATAAACTGTACATTGCTACAAAAAGAGGCAAAATATCTTAAAAAATTATACGGTTTCTTTTCAATCAAAGACTCCACATGGTAGCTCAAACAGTCATATACCAAAGCACCATACCCCTGTTTTTCATTCTCCACGCGGACTGCGCTTCAATCAACCAATCTTTTTCTCAGTTTTGCAAAAATTGATTATTCCATAATTTTTGTGATGAGAAAATTTTCTCATTTGCTTTGGTAGCTACTGACCGTCTCTTCATTTGATTTTCTGTGTAGACAGGATGTTTTTGTAATCCGGGTGCCTGTGCAAAGTATCTTGATCTATCTCATTTGGATCTTGTTACAAATATTGAGGTAAAGCTTTTTGTTTACTTCTATATGTGGGTCATACATGAAAATTTGCACATTTCATTTTCCTATTTGACTTCTACAATTTCTAATGTCCTTAATTGGCTACTTGGTCCAGGCAGGCCATATCTGCTGGGATGATAATGATATAATTAACGGAAAACCATCTGGTGCAGTGAGGGTATCCTTGGGGTACATGTCAACGTATGAAGATGTCAAGGTAAATAATTTATTTTCAGTTCTATTAATTCCTTTGGCCATGTGGCATACTTAAAGCATCGTTCCTGGACTAATCTTTTTGGCTTAGGTAACCTTTAATGTTTGTTACCTTGAAAGGACATAATCTGATTTTACATGCTTAGATACATGATAATGATTTCATTTTTGTGTGTTCTCACTTCTTGAACTACTTTGACAACATTTTTGGATGTTCTCTGTCTTAGAGCAGAAATTCATTGATTTTGTGACAAGTTCCTTTGTCTCGATGCCAACTCATTCTAGAGATTTACAATTTTGCGGAAGGTCCATCCCTTTCACTGACACAGGTTACTTTTCTATCACTCTATCAGTTTTAAGCTCGTTAAATTTAATTTAAGTGATTGTTTTTGGTTGGTCTCATGTGTGTGTGTGTATATATATATTACCATTTTCATTAATTAACTTATGATATAAATATTTTAAAAAAGTTAGTCCTTTTAAAATGATAGCTATTAAATTTCTATTGGCTGACATAAAAATAATATACTACTAATTTTACTTACTAATGTTTTTATTTATATAATAATAAAAACTGGAGAATTCTCTCTATGGAAATTTGATCTCTATCAGGCGATTCCTTGAACTTTTCCCAATTTCTTGATATTGAAAATGGGGTGGAAATGAGGCTAAAAGTCCCTAAAAAGTTGGAGATAGAGATTATATCCCTCACCTTGCCTCGTACCCTCGTATGGTGCAATCCCTCCTACCATTGATATCTTTTAATGAACGTCTATGCTATGTTTTATGTTTAACACTGTCGAGTGTTCTTTTTCTCTTTTTTCACTGTCAAGATGCGGCTTGCACAAGTATTCTTCTGTTTAATCAAATCTATCTATGCTGCTGCATGGTTCGCTGTACAGTCTCATGATACTGAAATATAGTGCTGGAGGACACGTTGATTATATGTCTATATGTGTTACTTTTGGTGATTACCTCTTCATTTGTTAATTTATCCCAGGTTTTGAGAGCAGATATTCAGCTTTTGGAGTTGACCTCAAGTCTATTACTGTCTATCCAATAAAATCGTGTGCAGGATTCAGCACAGATAGATGGCCGTTAAGCAGTCGAGGTATCCATTTGAAATAACATTTCTTTTAATCCACAGAGGGAGTACTAGAGCGAGACAGGAAACTAAATTAATGCTCACTATACTGGTTTCCTGAAATAGTGGAACATAAGTTTGTTTAGGGATCTGTGAATTTCACACATCAGGTTCCGAGGTTAGATATGCAACCAATCAACCTGCCTAGTCGTACTTTTGGGG